GGGGGTGGGGGCACAGATGGGCGCGGGGGTGGTGGTGGTGTGGAAATAACACTTTAGAAACAAAATAATTTTAATCTCCTGTGACATTAAACAGTGTGTTGGCAGCGTTCCTGATGCTAACCAGCAGCAATATTGCTGTTTTCTTTCCTTACACCACAGAAACTAGGCAGTTATCGTAGTTCTATCAGACATCAAAATATGTTTGACTTAGTGTGGTCAAGTGACTGGACAGACTAGGAAAGGGAAAAACACCATCCAGAGATGGCATCAAGAGCCAGCTTTTTAAGCTGAAAGCTGACATGTGAGGACCTTGTCTGACTTGCATTTTTAGAATAATGCAGCAAGAGGTTTTATAGCTTCTTGAAGATTGTTTCCTCTTATAAAATAGAATGAGCTTAACTTGGTCATATTTTAATTATTACAGACTCCATAACTATACTCTTCTCACCTTAGTTATCTGAACTATTACGTTTGAATATGTCATGTTATAAATACAACTTGTTTGGCATCTGTGCAGTAATCTAATAATTTAAAATATGTTTAATAGTGGAAACATTGCTTTTATACAGCAGGCAACATGGGAAACTTCCCCTCCCCCCCTCTATTGCTTGTCACTCGCTTGAGTATACTTTTAATAATTGCTGTAAAGTAACTTGGAGTGTGTTACTTGAGAGAAATTTTGTCCTTGCTTGTCCTAATGATTCAGTTTGTTCACTATTAGATTTCTGATCTTTGTGCAAATATGGCATTGCATATCCATGTAGGAGTTTCTTCATATTAACAATTAGCCTGACTTGTGCCTTGGAGCATGAAAGTTGATATCCAGGCTTGTAATATGTGATAGGTAGTATAATACCCATAGTAAACTTCTGTGGCTTACAGCCAAGGTCTTGCTATTTTACCTTTTTGAAGTAACACAGGCCTTACGTGACCTAGTTTAAATATAGCATGCACTATTAAATAGCTCCGTTTGTTATAACTTAGGTCTAAATTTCTGCTTGAATAAGAATTCAGTGATGTTCTGTTTTAACACAGGTTTTGCACTGACTGCAAAAATAAAGTACTTCGGGCGTACAATATTCTTACTGGGGAGCTAGACTGCAGCAAGGAGAAGGGCTACTGCGCTGCCCTTTACGAGGGCTTGCGTTGCTGTCCCCAGGAACGTCACATACACGTATGCTGTGAAACAGATTTCATCGCACACCTCTTGGGTCGGGCTGAACCGGAGTTTGCAGGAGGGTATGAGTATGTAATTTGCTAGAATGGGCTATCTAGCGCTTTGCTTCTTTATTTTGTTACTGAATGTATTTTGCAGTCGTGATTTTTGCCTCCTTGCTGCGTAATCCACTTGTGAATGTAGATATTTGTATTGAAGTAGACTTCAAGGTAGCGCTTCATGATAGGGAAGATTTTGCCTTTAAAGTGCGTTTAACTCCGAAGGCAAGACTGAGTGAATTTGCTAAATGTCTTCTAGCTCATTTCTTCCCTCACCAGGGCTGCCTGCTTTTCCGTGGTGGGGTTCAAAGTGTGTGAAATAGAAAGAGAACCTTGCTTGACGCTTTTGCCAAATGCCAAGTGTTCAACTTAGCTTTGTCACCATTTGTATGTTACAGTAACTTCTGAACCTGTTTCAGCATCGTTTAATGAAAAATACGATTCTGAGCCCAGTATCTTTAGAACTCAAGTTGTAACTGTTTGGTTAGGAGGGTAAATCCTTTTATAATGATTTTTTTCTTAGTAGATGATAGATACAGATTAATAGTGAAATATTTTTACTTCGTACAGTAAGTAATGTATAAACTTCTGTGTGTGTTTATCCAGCTTCCACTAACAGGTGGATAAATGGCTAGGAAACTGAAATATATGCTCTGTAATCTAAACACACATTCTAGGAAACAAAAGGAATGTCTGCATCCCTTTGGCATTAAAACTCTGCTGCTCTCTCCTAGTAGGAGCCAGCAAGCAGGGCAGCACGTTCGGGAGCTGCAGGTTGGCAGGCATAGTGCAGCTTAACAGTGCCACGCACAGATGATCGGGTCAGGAGTGTAGTGGTGGTTTTGAGCAGGTCCTTTCTATTTTGCATCCGCATGCAGCGCAGCAGAACTTGATTGAAAAAGCTGTTTGTGCACACATAGCTTCAGTTGTACGTAAAGAAACGCATCATTGAACTGCTTTGATCTCTTGGTAGACTTCCAGCTGCTTTAACCAGACTATACTTTGGTTCAACTCTTCCTTTAGACGGAGAGAAAGGCATGCTAAGACAATAGACATAGCCCAAGAAGAAGTTTTGACCTGCCTGGGTATTCACCTTTATGAAAGATTACACAGAATCTGGCAAAAGTTGCGGGCTGAGGAACAAACGTGGCAGATGCTTTTTTACCTGGGCGTTGATGCTTTACACAAAAGCTTTGAGGTAAAAACCAAATTTTATCGAACTTGTACTTGAGTTGCTATAGTAACTGCGTGTGTTTTCACTGAAACTATTTTTCTGCTTTCTGCTAACACTGGGCTGGAAGGAGCTTCAAGGGGTGTTGTGTTAAGTCCCTTGCTCATCGCGGACAAGGGTTGTGTAATGTCAGTGCGTAGCACAACCACGCTGTGTTCTGAGGTGAAGTCTGCTGGAATGTAAGAATGAGGATTGCTTTTACCTTCAAGCTGCGTGTTACCGTGTGTTAGACCGTGTGTCTGTAATTCGCAGTGAAGGTATTTCTACCTGACCACGTTTCAGGTAGTTCTGGCTACAGCAGTTTAAGTGGTCTTCATTAGTAAAAACACAGGATGAGCTTTTGAATTCCAAACACAATGGGTAACTCTGGCATTCAGCACATTCCCAGTGCACTCTAATCGTGTGGGATCTTGAACTTCAGACAGGACTCCACGCAGTTCCTTTAACGTATGCCAATAGTATACATCCCCTTTGGCATGACACGGATTCTTCTATGTTTTGTTCCTCTTCCATTCGTAATGACCATTCTCTCTGAAAACTCTTAAAGCATCAGAGGAGGAAGAACAAAGTCAAATTAGGAAAAATCACAGTGGAACCCTAATCTAGTTAGTTCTTGGAGGTTTTTACAATTAACTTTTTCAAAGACTATAAACCGGTGGAAGTGGTGCTGGGCTGGGTGCACTGTGGCATTTTGATCAGGCTTTGTCTTGGTGGTTTTTTGTACTAGTAAGTATGGTGTTGAAAACTGATTTACGTCGTGAACCTCAGGTAGGTGTACTGGTATGCAAGGCTGGCTATGAACGTGAAGTGTGGAACTGTTGTGTCTTTATGTGGAGTCTTTGCAGAGGCGAGTGGGCAGGATGTTGTCTCACTTTGGCTTAGGGGGTGTACTAGTTTAACTTCATTCCTGTAACTTCATATGTAGATAGGACATTTTATTTATTCTAATTTTAATTATAAGGAAGGTATTAAATACATATCTCAAAATATAGCAAGTATGTACTTCAAAATTGGACTGCCTAGAAAATCAGTTAGATTTGTCACTGCTTACCTTGGACAAAGAGCTGCAGGAATTCTGTCGCGGTAGTTCTAGTGTGGTTTTCTGTGCTGCTGTGTTAGATAATCGGAGTATCCACCATGTAAACACAGATACAAAAAAAAAATCATTCAACTCTGCAACTTCTTATGGAAAACTGTGAATTTGGGCTGTAAGCTGAATGCAGTGCTCCCCCTGCACCTACATCTTCTCCAGCAATCTCTTTTTAGGGATTAAATCTGGGTAGGAATTTTTCTTCTATGGTCCGTCGCTGTGTTGTTGTGACTTTATAATAAAAAGTACTTACCAGCTATTTTCCTCCTCCTTCTTTTTGACTGTAAAAGCTTGAATTGTGTTTTATCAGTAACTCTAACCTCTTACAAACAGATGGCTGTGGAAAAAGTGCAGGGTATTAGTCGATTGGAACAGCTCTGTGAAGAGTTTTCACAAGAAGAAAGAGTGCGAGAGCTTAAACAAGAGAAGAAGCGCCAAAAACGGAAGAACAGACGGAAAAATAAGTATGCGTGTGAGATCCCTACTCCCTTGCAGGCAACGGAAGAGAAGGAAATGAATCAATCAAAGGTAAATGTTAATAGCTGTGACTTTCTGCTCATGTTAAATAACATGATTTCTAATTGGGTGCTTTGTTCATCAGCTCACTGTTCCATGTTAGAATTCTTGAGAGGTTTTTGCTGTATTTCAGTTTTTTTGGGATCTAGTTTTTGATTGCTAGTGGCATTTAATATGTTTTCAGGCCAGTACAGTCTTTTTTAAAGTGGTTGCCTGGAACTCCTTTTGCATTTGGGGGTTTGGTGTTTGTGGGTTGTTTTTTTTTTTTTTTAAATCCTACATCGAGGGGTGTCAGTTTATGCTAGAGTATTTTCCAACTGTCGCTGGAAAATGGGAATTCAAATGCTAGTTGCAATTACCATTTTTTAAAAAAGGCACTTTAATTGACTAAGTGCAACTGTTATTCCAGATCTCTTGACTGAATATGACCTACAGTGAGCCCGTTTGTGGGGAAAGCAGGATGGTTTCCGGTTGTCTTGTACTGAAGAATTAGCAATGCTGTGGCTGTTGTCAGCGTGCACTGCTTATTCCTGTGGGAAGAGTGTCCTTTCTAAAGATGCTGCCTGAGCTACTTTCAGTACTTGCAAGTGTATTTTGTTGGTTTTTTGGTTTTTGTTTTTAAGGAAAATTCGAACTTCACAGAAGGTAGTTGCAAAGCCTGTAGTAGCACCAAAGAAGCTGACAGTTGTGTAGAAGTAATTGTCACAAATGAAAGCACTTCTTGCACTTGTCCAAGCAGTGGTACCCTATTAGGTTCACCTAAAATTAAGAAAGGTACGTTAAATGTCATTATTTTTCCTTTTCAAAACCGTGTACCATTTGTGGGATAAACTGTGCTCAGCTGTTTTTAAAAACAGCTCTTTTAAAGGACTCTTCCTTGTTGGAGGCATAACTGAAGGGCACGCAGCAGCTACCTTGGGTTATGGTAACGTCTCGCTTTGTCTCAGGTTTACTGCCGCACTGTAACGGCAGCGACTGGGGCTATTCATCCAGCATGGAGGGCAGCGAGATAGGATCTCGAGAGGGATCGGACGTGGCCTGCACTGAGGGCATCTGCAACCACGATGAAAACGGTAGGTTTGGTAAGAATGTAACGTTGGCTTAGTATCCAGAAACCTGAGCGAGCTGAGCAAGAAAATTCCTGGTGTCTTGCAGACGATTCGTGCGTCCATTGCTGTGACGACAAAGAGGAGGATGGAGATAGCTGTTTGGAATGTTGGGCTAATTCTGAAGAGAATAACACAAAAGGCAAAAACAAAAAGAAGAAAAAGAAAAGTAAAACTTTGAAGTGTGAGAATGAACATGTAAGGAACATAGCTATTGCGGAATGTTTATTTAAATGCATACACTAGTTGTGACCGGTGCCATAAATGGGGTAACACAGATCTTCTGTTACCTGTCCATCCACCTTTTGAAACCAAGGTCCTTCCTGAAATAGGCTGTGATGGAAGGAGTCTCTTCTCCCCTACCTTCCCAAGCCTGCGTACCTTTGCGCACTCTCAGTCAGTTAACCTCCTGTTCCCCCTCCTCCCTGGGCACGCACCCTTAAAAATACATATATATATCTCCATGCTGTCTTTGAACTTTTTCCTTTCCTCCTTCCCTCTGCTTTCATCTGAAATGTGAATGTCTCAGGTTTAACACTGCTGGTAGTTCATTACAGGCTATTTTCACTTTTAGATTCAGAGACTTGGAAGCTGTATGGCAGACCCAGGTAACAGAGAGACCTCAGGAAATATCATGCACACAGAGTTTCATCACAGCAAGACCAAAGACACACATGCTGAAAGCTGCTGTAGCTCAGAAAAAAGTGGGCAGCAGTTGCCTGCGTTTGAGGACATGAAAAATGTGTCACAGTTTGCAAAACGTACAGAAATGTCACTTGTTCCCAGTACTGGAAAAGTTTACAAGAGCTTAGTGGAACTCCTTGTAAGTAACCACTTACTTTGAATTTTAGGCTGTTGCATACTGCTTTAAGTCCTCGGGATTGAGGATGGGGTTTAGACTGAAATCCCGCTGAAGAACTGTTACAAGAGAGAGCGTAACCAAACCTAAGATTCATAGCTGACTCTCCCAGGGTTTAGTCTGTTTGCTTTTGTGCGTTCTCTGTGAAGTATATAAATCGGATGCTTTGCAGAGGAGGAGAAATTGCCTGTCACTGGAATGCAGATGACAGAATTGTATTATTACAAGTGTTCATTATCAAGGGTCGTATTATTCCATAAAATGAAGCGTGCGTTATTGCTCCCTTCATGCCTCAAATATTACTTCCCACTGCAGGCTCCTTGGACAACTGTGCTCTCTCTCCCTTTCCTTCCCTTCTCCTTCCCCTTGATTTACATCCTTGTTTTTTTCTTTTCTTCCTTATTTCTTTTTAACTCTAATAAAAGCCATCCTCTTTCAGTAGAAATGTGCTAAGACTCTGAAGCTTACTCTGGTAGATTTTGTGACTGTAGAGGCTGCCTTACCCCAAACGCGGCAGAGCGCTGGGGGTGTGAAGCAGGTGACTGGATTCGCCTTGTGGCGGCGTGAAGGCGAAGGCTGCGTCGCTCTGCAGAGCGCCTGCAGGCAGCGCGTGCGGTTGCAGGACAGGTGTGCTGCGCAGGGAGGGCAGCGCTCGAGTTCTGAAATGCCTGTTTTCATTTGTAGGAAGAGTCTGAATGCACTTCTGATGAGGAAATCTTTATCTCACAAGATGAAATAGAGTCCTTTATGGCAAAACACAAGTCTTTTTACAGCAATAGAGAAAAATACCGACAGCAGCTGAAGGAGAACTTTATTAAATACTGCCGCTTACATGAACAAGGGGCCCATTTGTAGCGGTTGGTTGACAACGGCTGGAATGAACTAAATAAAATAAAATAGCTCTGTCTTTCACTGAAATTCTCAAGATGACTACTGCGCCTTCTCTTTCAAAAACTTAATTTAGTGACTTTATGGCAAAGTTTTATCTTAAATTAATGTGATTCTTTTCTTGGTTTTTTGGGGAGTCTGGTGGAGGTGACTTCATTAATTTTGTTCTTTCTTCAGGCTTGTATCTTTAGTTGAGTAGCTGTGCAAGCCTCTCATAATTTAAGCCATCTCTTTTCATTAAATGTTTCTCTTACTGTAAGACTTACAAAAAGCAAACTAGTGGCAAAGTAATGTTGTACCTGTTATTCTGTACAGAATGACAATGAGCTGAATATAAGATTTTACAGAGTAGACATCCATTTGCAAAATGTTTTGGATGTAATATGTTAAAGCGCAATGTGCAAAATTTAAATAAAGAATATTTATTAATATGCATAGTAAAAGCTGGCGTACGTTTTTCTGCTTTAAGCACTCCTTCACAGCAGCCTGAGCCCTTCCTGTCCAGGTGGACAGCTGTCGCCGCAGTCTGCGTAGCTCCGTGGAGGTGGGTGCGAGGTGAGTGAACTTGGCTTGGGAAAGCCAGCCCACCGGGCTGGGCGATTCCCCGCTGACGTGGTCCAGAGATCGCCGAGTTACTGCCGAGCACACTGGGCCCGCGTTGTCGGTGTGGCACTGCGCCTGACCAGGCCGGGCCTGTTCTGCCTCGGGATCTCGGATAATAGGTCGGCGTGGTGCTATGTGGAGGGATCTGAGGTATCTGAAGGGCGTGGTGCTGGATAGATCCTGACATTGCTGCGGTCAGCATGGCCAGTTTGGTGATGGGGCCAACTTTGGGCATGCAACCTGTACCATTTTTGGGGCTTAATTTAGGGTTTTCCATTGAAACGGTTACTGATGCCGGTGAGTTAGGAGAACTGGTGCGCTTGTTTTCCTTCTCCCCTGGCAGCGCAGACTTAAAGCTGCTGCCTGAACCCATCAGAACGTAATCGAACAAAACGCAGGTTTACAACACGCCTTGGCGTTTTTGTGATGGAGTAACGAGCTCTGTTCTGAGGATGTAACGTGAGTGCTTCTGCATAAATACCCTTCCAACCGTATTGCGTTCCCACAAATAGGGTGTCTAATGGCACGGGTTGCTTGTAGGATTGTGCTCTGACAAGTGGTGGGGGTATGGGATGTAGGAGATTTAAGAAAAAAGCAGTTAAAAACCTGGTGCTACATTGACAAGACGAGGTGGTGACACGGTTTTGCACAGTCGGCATCCAAATTCAGCTGGTGTGAGCTGCCCTCTGTGGCACTTGACCTGGAAGCTGTTAGGTACTGGTGTGCAGCTGGAGGTGGAAGCTAGTCGGTGTACAAGTGCAATTCAAAAAATGTAGGAATTAAAAATGGTGTATTCAGATTGAAATCAAAATATGTGTTTATCACCATAATAAAAGCACTGAATAACTCTGATATTTAAAGATCGTGCTATGTTGATGCACGCCCCCACTTGGTTATTTTAGCTGTTACAAAATCAGATGTAAAAACCACATTGAGCTTTAGCTTCTTAATTTTTTTCCAAGTTAACTGGTAATACTAATAAATACTCCCTTTGGGACTATTATTTAGTTAAGATATATTTACTGGTCATCTCAATTACAAAACACAGAAGACTACGAGGATACAAATGCTTTTCTATGTGATAATGCTTGGATTTCAGTAGCAGCTGCCACTAAAAGAAGAAAATGCTGGGGTTTGGAGGGGTATTAGCAGAATTGCAGAGTATCGTTCCTGATTTCCTCCTTTTCTGTACTGTGGTCCCTTCGTTTCCTCCAATACAGGGAGGCTGGTTTGGTTTTTTGGCTTTGTGTCATGCTTCAGACACATTGCAAAGAGGCACTGTGCCTGGCAATCCTTAACTTGCCCAGGGTTCTCAAAGGAACCCGGGAGCCAGCTTCATCAGAGCAACGGAGAACACGTAGGGACTTTTTTCCTGGTCCTAATTTTAAGTGTGAAATTCGGCTTCAGGCAAATAACCCTTCAGCTTCCTCTGCAGCATCAGGACTCCTGGTTTCCTGCAGCTAAAGGCTAAGTTTGTAAACAGAAGAAGATTCCACCCTTAACGTGAGGAAGGGGAGCCCTTACCGTGGCAGTTTCTCCCCTGGAATGCAGGGAAAAAGGTGAGTTCCGAGCGGCGAGCGAGCACTGGCTGCGCGCTGGCGCGGAGCGGGGTTGTCCTCGGTCGTTGGTGAAACCATCACGCGTAAGTGGAGCGTTCGTCACCCTGTGCTTTCCTGGAGCTGAAGGGGTGGGGGGTGGGGAATTAGAATTTGATGGCTGTTGTAAAGGCAGTGGCACCACAGAGCGCTCGAACGACTGCGTGGCTGCGGCTTGGAGGAAAGCAGGAATCAGAGTCCCTTGGGCACTGGGCCAGCTCGGTGTTGGCAGGTGGTGCCGCTCGTGAGATGACAGGGTCTGCCATTGTCCCTGTAGATTTTCTTATGGTCAACGGGTCCTTCTCACTGCAGCAGCTCTGCGCTCGCTGCGGCTCCGCACTCAGCCCCCTCCAGAAAATCTCCCACACCCCTCGCCCCATTGGGTGAGGTACAAAAAGTCCTGTGAAACCAAACAAACCCGAATCCCTGTGCAGTTTATCCTTTTTGGTTTTCGACACTCATGGGCTGTATAATCAACTCTAGGGGGTGGTCTTCTTAGTCATGTTGTTTGCTTTGTGTCCACTGAAAGTAGGTGTAAACTAAGTGCATGGACAGTGGGAAGGGGAGGGGAGGGAATGCCTTCCAAAATGCCTTTCCCAGCACATCCTTGGCAAGATGTTGCCCCAGCGGTAGGATGGACCCTGGAGGTCAGCAGCTCTGCTCCAGATCCGACTGACTCCAGAGCAAAGGGGGAAGCCCTTGAATTCATGTTGGCTAAACTGGGCAGCTCAGTATCCCAGCATGGTGATGGGGACCGAAGAGTGGCTGGATGGACACGTGGAAACTCACTGGAAGCTGCAGAGGCTCCAGCTGAGGAAGTCCCAGGGCAGCACGTGGCTGCTGTGCATCGCCTTCTCTCTGGGGTTTATGCTCGTTTTCTGAACGTCTGCTACCCGTTACCACTGAACGAAGTTGGTCTGTCCTGCTGTTTACCTGCTTGGCCGTTCTCGCTGAACCCCTGCTTGCTTGGGGTGTCAGGACTGTGCACTCCACTGCCAGCAAACTCACACCTAGGAGAAAAATCCCCCTGAGATGCATTCCATAGCAAGCCTGGTTCCCCATCTCCAAGTAACCTATTCCCTGCGGAGGAGGGGAGCGGCACATCAGTCGCAGTCAAGAGGTGTCCAGGATTTTGCTGGGCAGCATGTGGAAGGCTGCAGCTGGATCCAAGCACCAAAGACATGTATTTATTTCTCTCCTCCTCGTACCGTTTGGATACCGCTAGTCCACACTGGGCAAACCTGAGGCCAGACCCATTTTCCAGTTCCCTGTGTTTTCTGTCTCTAGTGAGGAACCTGAACATTACTTTTTCAGCACCGACGCATTCCTATCTTGGATAAGCTCGGGCAGGAGCTCAGCCCTGCTTGCACGTGCTGCCGGCTCTCTCTCACCCCCTGATCTGAACACCCTGGGGTTTGGATGCCCAAAATCTTAGATTTTTAGAGAAAGATAACTTTGGTAAGAGCGGCAAGCGCTCATCCTCCCTCAGGTCTGCGGGCTCGTTGCGCGCAGCGTGGGCTGACGGGTCTGTTTATTGCAGCGCGGGTCTTGCCAGGGCTCGTTCCAGCAGAGATCTCTGCTTCTGTGGAGTTTAAACAGATACTCAGTTTAGGAAAGAAGAAAGGGTTGGGGGTTTGATGTATCTGTGCTTTTGTCTCTTCGGCTTCAATTAATCTATTTCTTTTAGAACTTTCTGGGAGTTGGGAAAACCTGCTCCGTGGGAGGAAGGATGACAGTCCCTTCACAGGGCTGCTCATCCTCTTCTCCAGGCTGAACAAG